TCCATGAACCTCTCTGAGTCAAACACTTCTGTGCCACCACCCAGTGACATCCCAGGGCAGAAGTGATCCTCAAAGAGGCCTGGAGAAGCCTCACGTTTCCCCTAAGGTGCCTTGGCCTCATCCTCAGTGGGACGACTCGGAGTCTCCCGTGGGACAGAGGGGCCAGGAGGGCTCTGGCTCTGCTTGGTGCCCGGACGTGGCTCGTCCTTGCGCGCAGCCTGGCACTCGCTCGCTGCCCGAGGGCTCCTCTTGCTGCTCTCGTCCTGCCGTGCCTGGCAGCTCTCTTCCGGAGGGAGAAGCTCTCCATCCTCACGGATGTGGCTGGTTTGATCTCTCCTGGGCGGACGGGGTCGGCTCTCTCCCGGGTCTCTCCGCTCTGTCTCACAGCCTTCCCGTGGCTCCGGAGCCTGGAGCAGAGCTGGGCAGCTCTTGGCCTTCCCATCCTCACGCTCCCTCACCTGGCAGCTGGATTCAGGCTCCCGTGGGACCTTCTCCCTGGTGGCTTTCGATCCATCTCCCTGGGGCTGATTCTTTTCCGTGTCAGGGATCTCAGGGCGCTGAAGCCTCCGATCCTCCTTGGACTTGGCCTGGCAGCAATCCCCCTTGGCAGCACCTGGATCGGAGGCAGAAGTTTGATGAGCTCTTTCCTTCACTCCAGCACCAGATCTCTCCCGTGGCTCACCAAGATCCCTTGTGTTTTCCTGGGAGCTGGAGGCTGGAGGTTCACACTCCTCTGTTTCCCTCTCATCCCTCTGGGCTCTTGGCTCTGGGTGGTTGCTCCTGGCAGAGGGGACAGGTGGTGGCCGAGGGGACATATAGCATGCAGACAGGCTGGCCCAGGCTGCCAGGCTGCTGGCAGATGATCTTGTAGGTGGTAGATTCAGGATCACTCAAGTTCTGGATCACATGGACCAAGTAGGCAATGGTCTGAGGCTCACAGGGCTGAGGCACCACCTGCACCTGCGGCCGCAGCTCGGGGTCAGCCGGGATGTAACGCACCCTCAGGTCAGTCACCGCAGCTTCTTCTCCTGGGAGGCACAGGTCGCTGTTATCCACCTCCAGGGTCTGGTAGAAGCTTCGCTCTTCATCTCTCTCCTCTTCTTCCTCCAGGACCTGCAGTATGCTTTGGTCACTGGTCTCCCTCCGGGTGGCCGTGACCCCTCGCTCCTCCCTCTCGCGTCTCTGCCGGCTGCGACGTTCATACACCTCCAGGTCCTGTTCACGATTGATTCTCCTCTCCCTCACAGGCTCTTCTCTCTCACGTGTCTCACGGCTGCGACGTTCATACACCTCCAGCTCCTGGTCCCGTTCACGATCAATTCTTCTCTCCCTCACAGGCTCCTCCCTCTCACGTCTCTCACGGCTACGACGCTCATACACCTCCAGGTCCTGCTCCCTTTGGAGATCAATTCTCCTCTCCCTCAGAGGTTCCTCCCTCTCTCTTCTACGGCAAATCCTCCTCTCTTCCTCTTCACATTCACGAGGACATTCCCTCCTTCTCAGGTCCTCACGTGGCTCCAGTTCCCTGATCTCACGGTGCACCTTCACATCAGCTTCTGCTGCAGCTTCTCTGGTCTCTCGTGTCCTTTCATGCCTCTCTGACTCATGTTCTCTCCTTACATCCCCTTCAACCTCACATGTTTCACGTCTCTCACGTCTCTCACGTCTCTGGTCAGTTGGGGCCCTTCGCTCCACCCTCTCACGTGTCTCACGGCTGTTCCTGCTCCCGTTCACGAACAGTTCTCCTGTCCCTCAGGGGCTCTTCCCTCTCTCTT